AGAATATTTGTATATTACTGAAGATCATTTCATATTGTAATCTAGATAACTGATGGAGATACCTCTACCAGAACTGTATGAATCTCACACTTCCAAATATCTCAAACCTTTATATTGCATTACTATTTTATTTTTTCCCCAAGAGCATTCCTGAGGTCTGTGTTTTTTTGTGGATACTCTTTGAGAGCATGGGCTGTCTAAATCTTTGCTCTGATAATGTTTAGCACATTTTTGGCACTCCAATATTAAATAACATCAATCATCATTCCATTTTGGGTATATGAAAACCAGATAAGCACACAGAGTACAAGATGACTCGATTAAAAAGAAACTATCTACAGCTGGTGTTTGCTAGTTTTAGGAAGTCAAATAAACCCAATAAAACTATAGCTAAGCTAAAGCTTGTCTTTAAGTAAGGCTTCTGATATGATGAATGTATCATACTGACGATGAAGAGAAGTAAAAATCTAGTATAGCCTGCTGAGTTTTCCAAACTTGCCTAGACAGACTTATTAAAAAATAAGAGAGATGCTACTTTCACACACTTTCATACTTTGCACTTGTATGAACACAGGGCCTGCAATCTGGCAATGTCTGTGCTTTAGTATGAAGTGGAAGAGAAGGCCCAGGGACAGAAACATAAACTCTCCATGTTAGGATCTTGGCTGTGACAAGTATGCCCAAGACTTCCAATGTGATCTTTCTGTTCTGGATCTGTTTGTTTCTTTCTTAAATTTCTTGATTCCTCTTAAAGCCTTCAGTGTTAAATGTCAAAAGGTGAGGTGAGGAAATAAGCTAGCAGAAGTTCAAATGATCATACTACCTGGTTTTCACTTTGGGACCCTACTAAATGCCTCAGAAGTTGAGACATACCACTGAATCACTGGGGTGAAAATGCTGTTTGCTTTTCCCACTTTAAACCGCCTTTGAAGCAGTATAACATAGCTGTTCTACTCAAGGATGACATGGTACTTTCAATTCCTCTGGCCATGAATGCGGAGATTACCTATTACAAGACTGGATTAAAGAGGGGACTGACATTTTTTGTTATTTGAAAATATGAGAATAGTGTTGTGACTGTTCCTCTTCCTTCTCCAAATATGCAGTGTGCAGAAAAAGGTGTTACTGGGAGCTGAGGGTGGGAATCAATGTTTGCTCAGTCTTCTCAAAGGCATTTTAATCACCATGAGCAAACAAAGGTGGCCTTTTAGCTGGAAGATTAAGGAAGAGTCACTTGGCCCCATGAAGTAAATGTTAAAAATAACATACATCAATTCTGTACATCCCACTATGTACCACATAGGACAAAGCAAAGCCCCTTAAAAGCTATTTTTTTACGGAGGGAGTGGGAACTGGGCTTATACAGAAATATTTGTAAAATGAGTAATATTTAAACAAAATCCTTTGGCTAAAAAAGGATAATACAGACAGGACACATCTCTTTCCACATCATTCCATAGTTGCTTATGTAGCTACATACCTGATTCTGGATTTACCAAGAAACTCCCGTACACTCTCTTTAATAACTAGGAAAAAAAAAACAAAAACAAAAGCCAAACATTAATCAAAAGGCCATGATAATTTCATTATTTTTAAAGCACTGTACTTGCTAAGCTCTTCGTAAGCCAGCATTCTTCCTAACTGTCATTTGGTAGATGGAAAACTAGAGACAAAGGGGAAGCAGATTTATCTAAGTCACCAAACAGGCCACTCATAGAACTGCGATTAGAATCCAAAAGGTTACCTTAGATCTTTCAATGAAAGCTCTTCCTGTACTCTTTTAGGACCCGACCACACCCTTTATATGTTCTCTGTTCTCCAGATTTTACATTGTACTTAATCATCTTTTGTTTTCAAGAGAGCAGAAGGATGCCAAATACAAAGGAGAGAACAGATTATGTTAGTTATAGACTGAACACA